CCTTTCTCTGGCCATGGCTTCCTGGGCACAGCTGGACTGTATTAGTGGCCAGAAAGGACCCAGAACTGGTAAGGAGGTGTTGCCCAGGGTTGGAGCAGGGTGAAGGAACTGACCTTTCACAAGGCACCCTTTCCAACCTGACTCCCACCAATGTGCCTACAGCACTCCTGAAACTATCCCTGTTTGGTCTGCATGAGTTCTTTCAGGACAGGCTATTCTGGGCCTGGTCCCTGGAGGATGACACGGTGCTGAGGCACCTTCAGGTCTCCAGGGCTCAGCTGAGAAGGATACAGTGTGATCTGTCCCTGAGGTTGAGGCCAGCACCAAGTCCACTCCCAAGTCACCCTCTGGGGTAATAAAGAGGGAGAACACAGGCCACATCAACTCATTTCTTTGGGTGTTTCATCCTCTACTCTAAGATGCTTCTGAAAACAGGCCTAGGTGGGCCCCAGGACAGGTGTTGACCTTGAGATTACTGAACATGCCTCAGAGATGGCAATGGATAATGGCTAGACCCCTCCAAGCCCCTCTGCCATACCCTCCTGCACCTGATTTTGAAGGTACCTGAAGGAAACCAAAGAGACCACAGTCACATGTGTGAGCCAAAACCAACAGCCCCAGAAAGCAACAGGAAATCCTTCAATCCTAAGTATCTTCCTCCCAAGAGTGGCAGGACAACATGCCCTGAACAAAGGAGTGGAGAAAATTAATGTGCCAGACCCAGGCAGAATTTGGGAGAGAATGAGTTGGACCACAGCTCAGACCCAGAACTCAGAGTTCAGTTGAGTGTGGCAATATTCAGTCCTTCCATTATGTGGAGTGACAGCCCCAGAGGGCCAGGGGCCCAGTACCTCGGAACATCTACCCTGCAGTGGAGACAAGTTTCATGTTAGGGTGGCAAAGGAGCTTGGTGATAGCGAAGGCCTCTTTCACCTGAGTTCTTTACCAGGGCTGAAGTTGAGGTGAGGTAGAGTAGCCCTGGGGTGAGGGCATGAGGCAGGGAGCCCAAAGCCAGTCCAAATTCTAGGGAGACATCACAGGAAAAGTCTGAGGTGTCCCAACAGCAACCATGTCCCAGACTGCACCCACACTTAGCTCTGGGATCAGTTTTCTGCATGGGTGTTTTTAATGTTAGGACAGGGGTGCCAAACATAAAACCTGAGGACTCCAGGGACCAGAGTCCATGGGGTCCCATCCAGTGAGAGCCAGATAAGCTCAGTGGAGAAACTGATCTATTCTGTAGGCATTCACCCACTTGGAGACCCTCTCCAAGGTAGATAGCCTGTTTCCCTCCAGACCACAATCTCAGCTCTAGAAAACCATGGAGCAGGCTGGGCACAGTGGCTCACACCTACAATCCCAGCAATTTGGAATGCTGAGGTGAGAGGACTGCCTGAGCCTATGCATTGGCAACCAGCCTCAGGCATTTGGCAAGGCCTCATATCTACAATAAATGAAAAATTAGGCCAGGCACTGTGGCTCAGACCTATAACCCCAGCACTTTAGGAAGCCAAGGTGAGAATTGCCTGAATATACAGGTTCGAGATGAGTCTGAGCAACTTGGTAAGATCTCATCTCTACACTAAATCAAAAAATTAGTTGAACATGGTGGCATGTGCCTGTAGTTCCAGCTGCTTGGAAGGTTGAGGTGGAAGAATTGACTAAGTCCGGTAGATGGAGGCTGTGGTGACCGGGATCATGTCACTGCCCTACAGCCTGTGTGACAAGGAGACTCTGACAAGAAAGAAAGGAAGGAAGGCAGGAAGAAAGAAAGAAAGAAAGAAAGAAAGAAAGAAAGAAAGAAAGAAAGAAAGAAAGAAAGAAAGAGACTGGACATGGTGGTATGTGCCTGTAGTTCCAATTACTTGGAAGGCTGAGGTAGAAGCATCACCTAGTCTAACAGGTTGAGGCTGTAGTTGCTATGAATACTGCTGCACTCGAACCTGGATGACAGAGTGAGATTCCAACTAAAAAAAAAGTGGCAGCACCCCTCAATTAGTAGCCATCCTCACCTGATGTCACCTGAGTGGACTGATCCCAAAACTGAGGCACAACTGCAGGTAGGAGCTTCCATTGATTGCAGGGAAACAGGTTGCTTTCCAGGGGCCTGGATTCTCAGATGTGGCCAGCATACCACTGACTCAGAACAGACCATGACTGTTTCATGATTTCTTTCCTGAAAATTTGTTCCTAAAGCTCCCCATGCATCTGGAGATCAGGAGTCAATGGTTTTCATTGCACAACTTTGAACCAGGATGCTGGGCTCCTGTCTTATCTTAGGTTCACTGTGAGATTAGGAACACAGGACAATCTCACATTGCTATCCTACTGGGCCTCCAACACCAGGGCCTGCCCAATCCTTAGTAAATTTTGAGATATTCTTCTCCCTTATGGTGACACCTACATATTAACTTTCTTATGAGAATGACACACATGGCCCCAAAAAAGTCAGGGCAGCACCCAGTAAGGTGCCCCAAAGCTCCACATAACTCCTCAGCCCTATGAAATTAGTGCCAACAAGGAAACTGGACAATGGAAGCCTTGGGACGGGAGGGTGAGTATGGCATTGTCAAAGCCCCAGCCAGTCAGCAGCATGTCTTGTTCTTCATGCTGGCCAATCCATGTGATAGTGCCTTCCTTAAGGGCACATGTCTTACATCCAGAGGGGCCCAACCTGGCCTCACCTGACATCTGGGAGAGCATTTGTACTAGGGATATCTAGGATGATCATACAGGGAACATGTGGCCCTGACCAAAACTAGGGTTTTGCCTAAGGCAAGGTAAGAAACCTAGGCATAGTGTATGGGTTCCTGAGGCCCACTCATGTCCAGCAGGGCCAGACCAGTAATGCCACCAGGCTTGAAAAGCAACCAGTCACCTTGACTAGGGTGGGCAGAAACCCACAGGCCAGCCATCAACCTTATCCACTCAAGGAGGCAATGAAGGCTGAACTTACATGTCCTGAGTGGCCATTACCTGACCACCAATGAAGCAGATGTCTGAGGCCAAGCAGATGGCACTGGGGCTATACTTTCAAGGTATAATACTTGCTATAGATTATAGGAATGATGAAAATTGAGCTAGTGAGGTCCCAGGAGCCCAGGTCCCTAAGTCTGCCATACTTGGTGGTTTCCTTTCAAGGCAAGAAATAGGATATGTGGCCTCATTTTGTGCAAGAATGCTCCAAGGTGGGGACCAGAGCTGCATAAGGGGGAAGAGCTTCTGCCTATGCAGGAATAGGCTTTACCTGGATCCTACAGTCTGTAGTCTGTCCCCTTTTTTTCATCTGACAGCTTGGGATTTTCTTTTTATGTTTTTATTTTTTTTTAGTTGGAGTCTCATTAAGTTGCCACGGCTGGAGTGCAGCTCACAGCCACCCCAGCATCAACCTGCTGGGCTCCTGTGATCCTTCTGCTTCGCCTTCCAAGTAGCCAGAACTACAGATGAGCACTATGATGCCTGGCTATTTTTTAAAATATTTCTTGTAGACATGATGTCTCTCCAAGTTGACTGGGCTGGTCTTGCACCCACGGGCTCTGGCAGGATTCTCCATTTTTTGGTGAATCTGCAGGTACTGAAAATCAGTCAGTTCCTTTTCTTATCTCATTTTACTTTCAGGAGAAAAAAAATCCTTCTATTAAATAAATTCTCAGCAACCCCTTCAGCAGCCTACTCTGCAGACAAGCACAGTACTGTCTTTGTACAACAGAGAGTGTCCAGTTCTCTCCAAACTCATAGAGATGAGTTCTTACAATAGTGAACATTCAGCTTTCTCCTAATGGATGGAGAGAATTTGTTAGATCTGGCTCAGTAAATAGCATCACCAGATCCCAAACGTTGTCCTTTGGGGGTTCTAGAGAATATGTCATTGGGAGCCTGTTATAGACGTTCATCTGCTCCAGGGTAATTGAGTGCATAACATGAGTCTTTAATTTTTTTTTTTTTTGAGTTGGAGTCTCACTCTGTCCCCCAGGCTGGAGTACAATGGCACACTCCTGGCCACTGCGTCCATGACCTCCTGGTCTCAGGCGATCCTTTAGATGCAGCCTTTCAAGTAGCCAGAACTACAGTCACGCACTACTACACTTGGCTAATTTTTTTGATTTATTGTAGAGACGAGGTCTTGCCAAGTTGTCCTGGCTGGTTTTGAGGCCCCAGCTCAGGCAATCCACTCATCTCAGCCTCTGAAAGTGCTAGGACTACACCAAGCCTGGCCTAGAGTTTTTAATAATCTGATACACAAGGAGATCATCTGAGTTCGTGGACGTCTCGCATTTGTGTATTCTTTTTTCTCTTACACTCTCCCTCTTTTTTTTAAAAGCAGGATTACTGAGAACAGAAAACCTCCCACAGTGGGAGAGGACCCGAAGGATTTACGAAATTCTCTCCTTTTATCCAGGAGCATTGGTGGGCTTATTTCTTTTTTTTAAAATTTTTCTTATTTATTTATTTATTCATTCATATATTTATTCCTTTTTACTTTTTACTCTTCTTTCAGGGGGCTTGTTTCTTTGGTACATGGGTATGGCAATGGCCAGTTTGTCCAACATGTCACTGGAAGATGTGGATGTCCCCAGCAGGGCAAAAAATGTGGGCTCCCCTTGAAACTACTCACATGGTACATCAAAATGTTTTGCTGCCTCCGCTGACTGGGACGGAGTCGGGCAGCTCAGCGATCAAACCACCAGACCTCATTCTTGTACTACAGTTCCCTGCATGCTCCGCGATGCACACCACATCCTGTTCCTCCCCCCAACTTCCGGTGCAGAGAGGCAACTCAACCTGAAAATGCTACAAGAAAAAAAATGCTTTTCTTTTTTCTTGCCTCCTCCAGCCCCGTTGGATCACATCTGCTGTCATTCAAGATTAGAAGGGTGGTGACCTGTCCCCTTATCCCATCAGCGATGCCAGTTCGGAAGCTACCCAATCAGAAAAGAGATTAAAGTGAGGTGGTGGCTTCCGGGTTCTGACCAGGTCTTTGTTTTCTGGGCCTGAGAAAGTGCCGAATCTCTCGGAGAGAGCCGCGTATATTTGCGTCTTCCCTTTTCGTCCTGTGAAATGCAGGTCTGGGGAGTTCGTAGGGAGGACGCTGGGACACCCAGAAGCCGGGAGATGGTGAGTATGGGTGTGAGTGCGAGAGCGAGAGGCAGGATTGACCCGGATGACTTGGCTGTGGCAGACCCACCTCCCCCTCAGTTCTGATCCTGGACCTGAGCCCGCTGGCGCCTCGGCCCCGGTCCCTTCTTCACAGAGTGGTTGTGGTTCGGTTCCCAGGGTCCTATCCCCATGGCGATCTCGCCCTGCTGGAGGCTTCTCCAGGCAAACCCGTGCTGCGTATGTGTGGGACCCAGGAGTGTCATGGGGGGTCTGATAGGCTTGGGGGTCCCTGGGGAAGGGGCTGTGGTTCTGGCCCCATCCCTTTTTCCGCCTAGAAGGTAACCGGAGGCTCCAGCACAGTGTTCAGGGGTTCCCTTGGGCCAACAGCGATCGTGAATCCCTAAGTCCCAGTCAGGGCTTGTAGTCTGCGGTCTCTGGAGGGTCTGGGGTTAAAGGCTTGGAGAAGAGGCAGTGGAAAGGCGGCCACGGGCAGGTGCCGGTGGGTGACAGCCCCACAGTCGCCTGATCTGGAATATCCAGGTCAAAATCCTAGACCAAGTCATCAGGCTTGTTAGGGTACTGGACAGAGTAAGAGAAAATGAATGGACCAAGGGGCTCAGCACCGCCAGGACTGGCAAGCTGGAGGTACACTCTGGGAACCCAGAGATCCGAGTAAGTTGCAAACAATTGCAACACAAATAGGTGAAAGAAGAAAAGATTTATTTAAGAAAAGTTCACCCCCCACAGACAGGGTGTGGGCCTACACTCTAGGTGAGTGTGGCCTCAGAGCCCCCCCAGAGTCCTTGCTTAAATCCTTTTCTTGGAGATGTTGCACCTGACTGCCGTGACTTCCTTGTTCGACCACCTGTGGATGTCTTGGGGATCCTGTGACAAAGACCCATTAATGTCTGTCCATATTATCATAGCCCCGGGTGTGACAAGAATTCTAATTCTCCTGCACCTTCCCAAATGACATTCCTTAGAGTTAGTGGAGGGTGCACCTCCCCTTATCTCCTAGCATTCCCAGTGAGTAGCTTTGGGGGATCCTTGGTTTCCCTGTAGATAGTGTCCAATTTATTGGAAGATCAAATTCCCACCTGCTCTCCCTCTGAGCAGTCATAACTTTGTAATTACAAGTTTCATGACTTTTACAATCCTTGCCAATGTATGATGTCTTAGACCTTGTTAATTCCCTTTACTCTAGGCAAGCTTGATTGCCACTATGACATACCTCAGACCTGGAAGTCTATTTCTGAGAAGACAAAGTCGATAAAGTTAATTATACCTAAAGTGTGCATTTCTCTATAAGCATACCTTCTACTTTCTCATCATTGTGTCAGGGTTTCAGAAAAAGATGAAAAATGCCTCCCCACTCTTGGTCTGTCCTTTCAAGGATCATTGGCAGTTTGTCACCAGGTCCAAACTTGGTTCTGTCTGGTGGGACAGCCAAAGTCAAGACAAGGAGTTGGAACAGGGGTTGTGACTTTATTTAGAGGACCATTAAAATTGAGAAGATGAAGGGCTAAGACCCCTCTTTTTTTTTTTTTGTACTTTTTTGGGGTTTTGTCCAGGTCAGCGGTGGGGGAGAGAGAGGGGAGGGGGTTGCTTGAGCCCAGAAATTTGGGGCTAACCTGGACAACATAGCCCATCCATGTAGCTACAAAAGCTGATAAAATTTAGCCAAGAGTGGTCGCACATGCCTGTAGTTTCAGATTCTTGGGAGCCTGAGAAGGGAGAATCTGTTGAACTCAGGAGGTCAAGATGGTGAAAAGATCTGTGGAGACACTTCCCGCCTGCCTGGGTTATGGAGTGATACTCAGACTCATAAAATACATGTAATTTGCCAGACTCGGTGGCTCAGCCTGTAATTCCACACTTTGGGAAGCTGAGGTGAGTGGATTGCCTGAGCCCACGGGTTAGAGACCCGCTTGGGCAACTTAGCAAAGCCTCATCTCAATAATAAATCAAAAAATTATCTGGGCATGGTCGAACGTGCCTGTAGTTCTAGCTACTTGGAAGGCTGAGTGGAAGGATCATCAGAGTCCAGCAGGTTGAGGCTGCGGTGGTCAGGAGTGTGCCACTGCGCTCTAGTCTCGGCGACAGAGTGAGACTCCAACTAAAAAAAAAAACAACATATAATTTAATTTTTAAAAAATAAGGCAAATCTTTAACATGTCGATGTGACTTGTCCAGATAATCTCATCTGACAAGAAATTCCAGAGGCAGTTGTTTCAAAAATGGGTGGTTCTCAGGTAAATGTGTTCCAGGTCAGGGGCTGTGTCTCTTTTCTTACTGGAATGTCATGATTTTAGAGCGTGCAAACTTTGACTGATAGTCATCTTTTTTTTTTTTGAATTGACGTCTCACTCTGTTGCCCAGACTGGAGTGCAGTGGTCGCTCCTGGCCACTGAAGCCTCGACCTGCTGGGCTCCGGGATTCCTTCCGCCTCAGCCTTCCAAGTAGCCGGAACTACAGGTGTGCGCTACCATGCTGGGCTGATTTTTTGATTTATTGTAGAGATGAGGTCTTGCTGCCCAGTCGGGTCTCGAACCCACAGGCTCAGGAAATCCACTCACCTCAGCCTCCCAAAGGTGTGGGATTACAGGCTGAGCCACTGAGCCCGGCTCACTTCAGTCTTTCAAGTAACTGGAACTACAAGCACACACACTGTCATACTTGGCTAACTTTTTGATTTATTGTAGAGATGAGGTCTTGTCAAGTTGTCAAAGATGTTCTCGAACCTCTGGGCTTAGGCAATCAATCCTCTCACCTTTTTCTCCCAAAGTTTTGGGATTATAGGCATGAGCCACCATGCCCGGCCTTCATACATATCTTATTCTACTTTAAAACTGTGTATTCTCTTGATTTTTCAGTCTTTATTTATTTTTAAGATGTGGGGTACAATTCAACACTATGTATACAAATGTCCATTATGCAGGTACACTTGTTGATGAGGTATGCCCCATACTCCCCCAGCAGTATTCCACTTTCAGTCTTCTTTTTTTTTTGTCACTATCACACTGTTTTACTTTTCAAGTCATTATTATGGATAATAACGTCTTTCAAACTTTTTATGGATTTCCAACTTAAATATTGTTTGCAAAACAATTTTTTTTGTCAGAACACAAACAACTGTTTGTGTATCAGTATCAAACTCAGTTGATAATCTGATTAGAGGATTGACTTAATGATACCATTTAATCTTTCTTCCCTATTATGTATTTTCATTATTTTTTATTTCTACTATTTTTCATGTATTTCAGAAATACTTTACAATTTCATCTTTACATGTAAATTTTTTTTGTAAATTTCAGTGTCTTTTTAATCTATTAACAAGATTATATGTCTTTCTCATTGATTTTATTAATATGACTAATTGTGTTTATGGATTCTCAAATGCTGACTCTCCTAAGCATCCCTGACATAAAGGGAACTTAATCATAATTTAATATTGCAACATGCTGACACAGTGTTTCTACTGATTTTTTTTTTTTCTTTCTTAAGTTGGAGTCTCACTCTGTCACCCAGACTGGAGTGCAGTGACTGCTTCCGGCCACTGCAGCCTTGACCTGCTAGACTCCAGCAATCCTTGCGCCTCAGCCTTCCAAATAGCTGGAACTACAGGTACGTGCTACCACATCTGGCTAATTCTTTTCATTTATTGTATAGATGAGGTCTTGCCAAGTTGCCCAGGCAGGTCTCGAACCCGCAGGCTCAGGCAATCCACTCACCTCAGCCTCCCAAAGTGTGGGATTACAGGCTGAGCGACCAAGCCAGGCTGATTTTTACATTTCTATTCAAATGTGATTTTTCTACAAAGAAATGACTTGAAATCCTTAATATGGAATAGAAATTGTGCGTTGACATTTTCCTCATCCAGGGAGACCAGGTTTATGTGGCTTTCTCTTTTGTTTTTTTCTATTTTTATTTTAAAATGTAGGGTATGACTAGGCTTGGTGACTTAGCCTGTAATCCCAGCACTTTGGGAGGCCAAGGGAAGTGGATTGCCTAGGCCACAGGTTCGAGACAACCCTGGGCAACATGGCGAGACCTCATCTCTACAATAAATCAAAAATTAGCCAGGAGTGGTAGTGAACACATGTAGTTCTGGCTACTTGGAAGACTGAGATGCAAGGATCACTGGAGCCCAGCAGGGCGAGGCTGCGGTAGCCGGAAGTATGCCACTCCACTCCACTCTGGACAACAGAGAGAGACTCCAACTCAAAGGAACAAAATAAAATAAAAGATAGGGTACAATTCAGGGTTAGTTTATAAGCAGTCATTGTACATGTAATACTTGGGGACCAGTACTGAAATTATATTCCCCACAATGGCAGTGTCCCACTACTGCCAATCACTCTCTTTGAGTATTCTGATAATTGTTCAGGGTTCACTCATAAGTGAGTATGTGTTGTACTCAGATGTTTGTTTATGAAATAAAACACGTGTGTATATATATATTTTTTAGTTGGAATCTCACTCTGTCACAAAATGTATTAATAATTTTGTGGCCACCTCCTGTGTTATGTAAACTACAGGCATGTGCTACCACACCTGGCTAATTTTTTATTTGTTGTAGAGACGAAGTCTCATCAAATTGTCCGGGCTTTCCTTCAACCCTCAGGTTCACACAATCCTCTCCTCTTGGCATCCCAAAATGCTGGGATTACAGCTTGAGTTACAAAGCCCGGCTTTTATTTTTTTAGTAGGAGTCTCACTGTTTCCCCTGACTGTAGAGCAATGGTACACTCATGACCACCACCGCGTCTACCTACTCACGAAACTTCCACTTCAGCCTTCCAAGTAACTGGAACCACAAGTGTGCGCCACCATGCCTGGCCAATTTTTTTTTTATTTATTGGAGAGACGAGGGCTCAACAAGTTGCTGTGGATGGTTTGGAAACTATATGCTTAGGAAATCCTGTTATCTCCTCCTCCCAAAATGCTGGGATCATGGGCATGAACCACCTCACTCATCCTGAAAGATTCTTAGTGATTATTATTATTATAGGTTGTCC